TGCAAAAAATAACAAACCCACAATGATAACTCTGCATTAACAAACAGCTTTCGTATTTAACACACTGTCATCTGAACAGCAAAACATCTCCTGATAAACCACACCTAACTAACTACACGATGTCTGGCTTTGTTGCTTTCTGGAGGGTTCTGTTGTGTACACTTTCCTGGCAGAAAATGGGAGCTGGTAGAACCAAAAATAAATTTTTAGTCAAAGAATACCTAGCAATAATGTCACACATGTCATAACTCAGCCTAATAACCATACCATTCAATTGTTGTCTCGATTCTATAAAGCTGTAGCTGGCTGAACTACTGTATATACTGTATGTCAAGAAATAAGGGGCTGTGGAAGAATCTTGCTTCATTGTCCTCCACTGAGATGTATACTCCGGAAATGAACTCTCTCTGCCCTGTGGATGCCCTGCTCCTCTTTGCATTCCATAGGACAACCAAAGCCAGCCATACTAGCCCCCAAATACCTGGGATCTTTTAAGATGGACTACAAAGAATAGTCACTGCAAGTCTAAATCTCAGTGAAATGGTATGACAAGAGAACAGATCTAAACTTTCCCACTTTTAGAATGCCACCCTCCTTTCCAGTGGACAAAACCAAATCCAGAGCATGACCTGCCACATAAAAGAAATAAAACAAAACGTTATTCTGTCACTGACTAGCTGTCTTTTCTCTAGAGGATGGTTATAAGAAAGACAAAAGGACACAGTTGTCTTCTGCAAAAAGTTCATTTTTAAAGTGTGAAGAGCTATAACAGCCCCAGGATGCTAGATGTTACCTGTATTGTGATCTGAAGGTATACCTGTCCTTAATTAGATTCTAAAAATTGGATAAATGAATTTGCTTAACTTCCTTTAACAGACTTTTTTTAAAATAAATTAATAAATGCATTCTAAAAAAATCTCACATATTTTTATAAGTGCTAAGCTACCCAAGAACATTTGCAGAGTTTAGGATTTTGCATTTTTCTTTAGTTCCTTGGAGTACCTGGAAATAATTATTATGACAAATGTTTCCAAACTCATTGAGGTAAATATTTATAATTGTCTACCAGATTAATATAAATATTAAAAGGTAGTTAAAATACTTATGAAACTTTGGGAAAGAAGCTGGGAAGAACCAAAGTTACTAAAATAAGAGTCATTCAAAAACTGCTATGTATTTTGAGTGATACATTTAAGTTTTTAAAATTCAAATTTCAAACAATTAAACAATTATATATATAAAATCACATCAGAACTCCAGAGTTTAAATTTTAGGGTTTTTTTTTTAACCTCGTCTTTCCACATTAACAAATATTTGGCCCCACAGCACAGATGTATTGGTGTAATGTTCTCACTAATCTGGGAACTAGTCCATGCTATGTCAGCTCTACTCCTAACATTCATCATTCTTGGATGATGGCCCCACACTTTTTCTACATAGTATTTGCTTGTGTCATTTCTACCTACTCATTCATATCACAAACAGAATAATTTCCCCAGGATTGCATACCTTCAAACTGTTGCACAATTTTCCACCAAACTCATATTTGGTTCATCTATTATTTATTTATATTTCATATTTTATATTTCTAAACTGCTCATCTCCCTCATTACCATCATTTACTCCAGCTTAACATGTAGCTATCACCTATATGTTATGGATTTGTACTTTTCAATGTACCTACAGCAACCTAGTTGACATCAATTCGTTCTTTCTTACATACTTTCTTACGTAGCTCTTTCATTCATAAGGAAACCTACAGCTTAATTTCCCTGGATGCATTCCTCCATCCCTCATGGCCCTTCATTCAGATCTACGGCCTCATTCCCTCTCATTTAGTTCCACAAGCACACAACTTATTTATTTTTCTTTCATTAATTTCTTGACTTTCTAATTTATTCTTATAATAACCCGGGCCAAAATCTTTAGTATGACATGGTGGATATCAGGTGAACCCATTATTATTGACTTCCAGAGGAATGTGAAAACTGAAGGATGATTGTGTTCCAGATCACGTATTGGCTGTGACTGAAGGTGCTTCTTGAAATGTGAATTGATACACTTTCTCTGCTCTTATTTCCTCTCTGGATATGTGTCACCATAGAACATCTTTGGATTGATAATGACAGGCCATCTGCAGATATTCCATAAGTAACGTCTTTTTAATCAACAAAAGTATAGAAATTAATATCTGAAAGTATGGTTTGTACATGTTGTTTATTTTGCTTCTGCAAATGAGACCTCAGCTTTTGCGACTTGGCAACTTGAACAGAGAACTGAGTCTCATTCTGTAGGTTGCAACTTCTACCAGGCTTTGTGTTTTGTGTGTGTGTGTGTTTGTGTGTGTGTGTGTGTGTTGGAGTTTACTCTGGCACATACTTAATGGCAAAAAACCAACCTCTGAGAATTATGGCCAGGTTAAGATTAAAGCAACTAAGGATCAGAATAAACAACCACTATATGTCCATTTGTGAGTGCATTCAGAAATGGGTCTGCTGCACCGGTATGCAGTGATATGGCACTCTTTGTTCAGTGTGCCCAAGGGTATCAACAGGAGAGCTAAATCTGTGCTGTTTACAAGCTTGCCTACTGCTGCTCTTTCCTTCGTCAGCTAAAAAAGTCTATAGATAATTTTCCATTCAGTAAATCACCATCAGCCACTGCAAAACAACAAATAAAAACTCCCCAGCATGGTAAAGAGAAATGAAAGGTGTTAGGTTAAGAGGAGCTACCATATTGTATGCAGTTGTATGTATATGCTATAGCTATCTTGCTGAATGCAGGTCCTTGGGTAATACCCATTTCAGAACTAAACTATACATACTGTATGCCCTGGATAACAAATCCATAATCCATAGGGAAGATACATAAATTTGCTATGTCCATGAAGTTCATCCTTGTGGAATGAAGATGGTCAAATCATCATTCATATCTTTTAGTGCCAGTGTCAGTGCCACGAGTTCTTTGAATGTGACTGATGGACCAACTCAAAGCTTTTAGTGATTCTCTTTGAGCCCTATAAGGTCATACAGATCAGGGAATAAATTTCACAAGAAAACTAGTACTATATTTTATTGTGAAAGGCCATGGTAACAAATATTACAAATGATTGTGTTTCCTGTTCCTTTCCTCTTTTACCCTAGGGGCTCAGGAGGATAGCCAGTTTGAGTCTGTTTCTAATACTTTCGCTGTGTTTTCAGCCCAAGTCATGCTTATGCACCTGTTTAATGGATTCTAGGTAGCTTTTCCAAGGTCATCTCCATGGCTTCCCACACTCTTATGTAGAAGCTTCAGATGCCTGCTGGCCTCACATCTAACTATTTAAAGAACACTTAGTGCTTAATTCACGATCAACAGTTTATACAATTACATTACACAATGAAAGCTCTATATAATGTAATTATGTATAAGTCCATTCAGCATACAAGTATGTCACTACATTGCTTGAAAGTAGCACCTGTAGGACAGACTTTTGTCAAATAGGGGATGATCTTCATTATGAGAAACATTGGTCTAGTTTTCAATTGCAAGAGTCAATATTCTAAGTTGAGTCTTGAAACAACCAAGTGAACATGGATTTCAGTACTGAATACTAAATTAAAAGATACAGCCAAAAAGGTACTCCTCTTTAGAGAAGTTGTCTTCTTTAAGTAATTAAGCCAATGCATTCTCCACTGGCCTACAAACATTAAAACAACAAACACCCTTTTATTTGAGCAAATGGCTCAATATTTTGCTCTGGCCAAAATATTTCTGTAGCCCTGATAGTTTGTAGTGGCATTTTTTTTTCAATTAAATCCAGATGCCACCAGTCCATGCAGTCTTATGTTTATGAAAGATGTCTAGGTCATTAGTTAATCTCTCCATGGTTGTGGCACAACATTCCTAGTAGCTCCCAACAATATACAATCAGTGGTTTCAGTCTGCCAACAAAATGAATATTCATTTCTTCAGCATGTGAAAAAGATCATTGTGCTGCCAAAATGCCAGCTCAAAGGTTCAATTTTCCAAGTAAATCTACTCATGAACATATCATTCTTTGGCATTACTTGGTAAATGGTTGTTATTCATAATGTTCAACATACAGTACCTGTATCTGACCTTATTGTCAATTTTTCTGAGGAAATCTGATTTGGAGGAGCTATATTATGGTGGAACTCTGTGTGTGTGTGTGAATTTTATTTTTAACAAGTGACAGTTGTAGATCTTTCTCTTAAACAAATGGTCCTGCCAATGCTTAGCTTCATGGCTTAGGAAATCAAAGCTAGATAGAATGATGAGATAAAGGCATTTCCTATATAATCGTATATTAGATTGAAGTAGTTTTGAAATGTGTTGAGACCTTTTGATAAAGTGCTGATAACTGAGTGGTAAATATAGGAAAATAATAGCTCACAAGACTCTTGAATTAGAATAATTTTCATATGCACTTTTCTCCAAAGATCATTTAAATGTTTTAAAACCCTGAAAAAGCCCTTCCTCCTAGTCTCCCAAATTTTTAAACTAACCAATGTGATGTAGAGGTGACTAGAGTGCTGAATTTGGATGTAATTCTCAAATTCCCATTCAATTAGAGAAATCATTCAGTGTTTCTGATCCTGGCCTAATTTACATAGATGCCAATTGGTCTGCCATTTACCAATATTTCCATGTTACAGAATAAATGGGGATTCTAATAAATGGGGTTCCAACTTTCCATGAATTATTTGGTCTGATACAATACTTGTTGATAAGATATTGTATCACTCACTAACTTTGCTTGATCTCAAAAATCTAAGTGGAATCAAACCTGAGAGAGACCATCTGAATGTACCAGGCTTTAAGAGTTGATCTCAACACAAAAGACATTCATTAAAAAAATTCCCTGGTGCTCAAATGTTTCAAAATTTTCCCCATAGCTGAGATCCCGTATATGAGTTCCATTATTTTCTATGATTGAGCTAAAGATAGGCATGTACAAATGTGCAGCTTTGCAAATTCTCTCTTCTGTTTTTCATTAGGGAATTGATGCCAAGAACGCTCGATGGCCAGATCACCATGGAGAAAACACCCAGCTACTTTGTCACTAAAGAAGCACCAGCTCGGATCTCCTCTATGTCAAAGGACACCAAGCTCATTGTGGTGGTTAGGGACCCGGTCACCCGAGCCATTTCTGACTACACACAAACCCTTTCCAAGAAGCCAGACATCCCATCTTTTGAGAGCCTGACCTTGAAAAACAGGACTACGGGTTTGATCGATACCTCCTGGAGTGCCATCCAGATTGGCATTTATGCCAAGCATTTGGAAAATTGGCTCCTGTACTTCCCACTTGGGCAAATCCTTTTTGTCAGTGGGGAGAGACTGATCAGTGATCCAGCAGGTGAGTTGGGCCGTGTCCAGGACTTTCTGGGCCTCAAGAGGATCATCACAGACAAACATTTCTACTTCAACAAAACCAAGGGGTTCCCATGCCTGAAAAAGGCAGAAGGCAGTAGCAAGCCCCACTGCCTGGGCAAGACGAAAGGACGGACCCACCCCAATATTGACCAGAAAGTAGTACAAAGGCTGCGAGAATTCTATCGGCCGTTCAACATGAAGTTCTACCAGATGACTGGCCACGACTTTGGCTGGGATTAAGGCTGGAAAAATAGTAATTTAATCATATTAAAAGGAAAAAATATATATTTTTGTACATATCAATAGAGATGGAAATCTAATATTTGTGCTAAAGTCTAGTGATTCCAATTAATATTTTTGTTTTAATGCAAACATATATTTACTTCTTTTGTTATTCAAGATTTATGATATCCAGTTCCACAAATCCAGAAGACTGCCACTTAATTTATGGATAGAATTGTTGACTATGAGACCTCACAGAGACAGAGACTTTTATTTTCAAGATGTTATTTTTGGAGTTTTTATAAAATAATTTGGTACCTCAGTCTGTGGATTCTAATATCAGTGTCCAGATAGTTTTTGTTTTTTTAAAAATAGCTTTAGTCAGTCATGTTGGTAACCAAATAATCAGGATTGAAAGACATTTTTTCCAATTTGATCTATTCTGCTTGGTCAGTTCATATGCTTTAGAGTTCTGCATTGCTAAAGTGGATGACAAGAGGTTTTCAATGAGTTTCAGGGTAAAAAAAAGTCACTAAACATTTCAATTCTTTGTAAACATTACAAAATTATTTATGCACTGGATCCTCGTTTGACTTAATAAGGACATTAGAAGAGCAGCCTCTGACTCTCACGAAACCAGATTTTATTCAAAGCTGCAGGAACAGCAGATAACATTTTAGCTCTGCTGAAACATTCTAATTTCCTACTAAGTAAGGATGCTTTTCTGTTTGTATTACTAAAGCTAATATACACCCTTGAGATCGGGTCATTAGGCAGTTACTGAAGAGTGATGTGAGGCCTTTTCCAAACATGTGACCCCCCAAATCTAGATGTTTTCTCAAAGAAGATCCAATATCCAAACTAATTAAGATAAAATATCTTCATTATAGTTTGAAAGGCATTTCAAAGCATTATTCGTCCACCCCTAACTCACCCACCTGTTGTCTCCATAAAGCCTTATATTGGCTCAGATTTCCCTGCCCACAGTTCAGTGACAGATGGGCTGAGTTGATGAGTCAACAGTAGGGGGAAAAAAAGAAAGCCAAGTCATTTTCCCTGTCATCTCTCCCACTTAAGCTCAAGAGGTCATTGGGTCATCAGTCGCTACCTCCAACCAGCCAGGATAGCTTTCTCTCTCAGCTCAGAGTGCCCAACTCTCATCTTTTTCTGAAATTGTACCATAAAACACTTGAGTAAATATTTTATAGCTGCCCCAACAAAGAAGGGAGAATATTTTGTTGTATCTCCAACTTTTATGTCTTAGGTATTTCTGAGATCATGATTCATCCCAAATACAGTTATCACCTACTGGAACAGCTGTGCCTCTAAAAGACAAAACACTAGCAGCAGAAATATGGGCAAAACCTCTATTACTGTATGTTGCTTTTTCTGGGCTCAAACTTTCAAGTCCCATAGAATGTATGCCACACTACAAGCACCAGGAACCATAGCACTTGTTTAAAATATGGTTCATCCCACTGTTCCCTTCTTCCACCCCCACCTCCCAAGGACTGGAGCAATGAAATTATTCTCAATTAAAATTTACCCCACCAAAGTAATACCATGAATTTGCAATTGGTCTGGCACTTCCGTACCAAATCCTAGACAATTGTTTGCTGACATGACAATCTACAGTAATTACAGATCTAGAACAATTAATTGTCTCATTGTCTCTGTGATTATTTGTACCATTGTACCTTTCCACATAGAATGATGCATCTTTTGATATTTCTGTCAGGTTCATAGTTGCACTTGTAAAGCCAAACTAGAAGTGACAGTGGCTGATACATGTCTTATTCCATTTCTATCACTTTACTGCTAAAGTAAATGCTGAAGAAACACGGTAAATATTCCCATCCCCAACATCTTATTCCTCACCAATCTATTGCTCCAGACTGTTTTCTTTCACTTCATAGTTGGAACTAGAAAGGCTTAAAAGCTGATGGAAATAACTTGCAGCAAAGTAAAACACAGATTAGTCTAATTGTTTATTTGATTATTAAAGGAACATATACCACATTCTGAAAGCAAATGACTGACAGACACACTGCTTCATCTAGCGTAGCCTTAATTTGTCTTTTTCAAGTGTGTCTCACTTTTGTTAAAAAAAAAAAGTGACATGTATCAAGTGAGCATGTGTAGCTCTCATGCTTGCATAGTATATCCCAGCAAAACAATTTAATGTCATGATGAAACATAGGACTTCACTATGCAGGAGTCAGATATTGTAATTGCAAATGAATCCCTGTTCTCCTTTTCGACTCTGGGGCAGAGCAGTTTTGTAATGTCTGAATAAATCTTGTGAGTTTATTTCCTCTCTCTAATCTCCTGGGATTAAGCTGAAGATTTCCAGATGAAAACATATATTTTTTTTCTTGGAGCAATGTTCTTGTCTCTGTAGATGACATTGGATTGAAATGTTCTAAAATGGAGGATATATTTTATAAAATTATGATATTCATCTCTTGGAGCAGTAAGAGAATTAGAAGATGTTCTCAAAGCTAATACACTCACTCACTCATCAACATTTATGCCTGAAGGGTCATCTTTATCTAAAACAATATCATCAGACAACTTAAAGATAAGAACTGATTTGTAAATGGCAAAACTTTGTATTGTTGCTTTTTCTGTAATGGCTAAATCAGGGCCTTGTTCCACTGGATATTGCAATGTCTTTTTTTCTGAATGTAGGAAAAGCTAAAGGATGCAGCTACTCCAAAACTATTACTTTTTACCATAGCAGGATACAGCATATGCTCACAAGTTTGTTACTAAATAAAATTCCAAGTCAGGTTGTCAAGAGGCCTGCTGAATGAATTCCATACTCTTCAGAATAACTGATACAATAAATGCAAATAGATGCAGTATCGTTTTACAGCTCCTTTTCAGGAACATATCATATGCAGTTTATTTATTTTAGATAATTATTGCTTTTCTTTTCTTTCCAGCATTATAGGGTAAACTATCTAAAGCCTGCCAAGAGAGAGATCCATGCCTTTTTTTAATTGATGGGGCAGGGGGAATTTCTTTCCTTTGTATGTGCTATTTTATTTTATTTCTTTGCATTGTAATCCTCTCATTTCCTCACTTTGATGCTATTTCTGTAAGAGTCAAAATACTTTTTAAATTTAATTTAAGGCTGAAGAAGCACATTTTAATAAAGTTTACGGGTACAAAGAAATGTTGCTGTCTTTGTGGCATAGAAGCAAAGGGGTAGGAAGAAACCTGGTGCACATCAGAACTATTTCATATAAGTAATAGTTTAAATCAATTTCCCTGCCTCTGTCTTTTAATATATATGAATTTTAAAAAGAAGAAGCCTGAGCCCATGAGTCCATGAGTACCAGTGGGTTCAGAACAATGATCTGGTGGCCAATCCACTCTATACCCCACCTTATTTTAATGTTTGAAGATTAGTATTGTAAGGTCCCAGTCCCTTACTTGAACTTGAGATACCATATCAATCTAATCAGATAACCCAAGCGGAGACTTCTTGTTCAAGCAGCAATTTATTTGATCAAATTAAGCAGCTGGGTGGCCAACCATCTGGAACGCTGGCAGAGTTACGTCCAGAAGTGCCACATCTTAAAAAGTTGGTAGCATTGCTTTATAAACTTTGTTAGCCAATGAAAATCAGACAACAGAGCCATTACATCATAAGGAAGACATCAATCATTCCTGTACACTCCCTTATTCCCTCCTTCAGTACATCCCATCCATGTACATGATTCTCACGTCTGCATGAGATTTCCCTGGTGCAAAACCTGATTACAAAAAGCAAGAAAGCAACAGTTAGACTAAACAATTTCCCTTTGTTCCAGAACCTTTCAGTATAATTTGCAAAAAGAGATAAATGGGAAGTTATCATGATGTAGAACCAACAGTTTGAAACATCACCTTAATTTCTAAAATTGCCTCTAGCTCATATAAAGAGGAGTATTGGAAATAGACAATATTGGAAACAAGGAATTTAATATTTTGTTTAACATTAACAGCTTTTCTGATCATAGACTTTCCCATTCTTGTTCAGGAACTGGAAAATAAAATAAACATTTTGAACTCCAAAGACTGAGTTAATCACACAGCTATACTTCCTAATTTTTTTTTTAAAAAGCGACCTAATAACATTTCCTCCCATAGTTTTGTGCATATATATATATATTAGTTAAAACCTTCAAAAAAAAATGTCCTGTTGCAGTCTTGTCTAAATGTGCCATAAAGATGAAATAAATGATGTGTCCTAGGCTCATGTGTCAATTGGTGTCTAGGATGCTGAGTGAATATGTCTAGGAATAAATAACAGATCTACAAATCTAGTGAAACTCGGTGTTGAGGGGAAAGTCTTCATCAGGGCCCAGTCGAAGCCGGGAATAAACAACAGTCAGAATATCAGCAAATAGCCCAAGCCTGCAAAGATGAAGTGAGGAAAGCTAAGGCTCAAAATGAACTAAGGCTTGCGACCAAATTAAAAAATAACAAAAAAAGCTTCTTTCAACATGTAAAAAACAAGAAAAAAGTGAAGAAAATGATTGGTCCATTAGTGGGTGAAAGTGGCAAGAAGGTGACAAGCAACAGGGAGAAAGCAGAACTATTTAACTCATTTTTTGCATCTGTCTTTACACAAAGGGAAAAAACAGTCCAACCTATCAAAAACAGTACCATGAAAAACAGATTAGAAACACAAGTTAAGATAGGCAAGAAAATGGTAAGTGAGCACCTGTCCAGCCTAGATGAGTTCAAATCACTAGGACCAGATGGATTACACCCCAAGGTTCTCAAGGAATTGGCAGATGTGATCTCAGAACCACTGAACTATATGTTGAGACTCTAGAAAGAGTACAGAGAAGAGCAACAAAGATGATTAAGGGACTGGAGGCTAAAACATATAAGGAACAGTTGCTGGAATTGGGTATGTCTAGTTTAACGAAGAGAAGGATGAGGGGGGACATGATAGCAGTGTTCCAATATTTCAGGGGCTGCCACAAAGAAGAGGGAGTCAAGCTATTTTCCAAAGCGCC